TCTAGTTTGTTTGGCGTGAACCTGCCACAGTGAAGGCATGGTCCTGACAGTGAAGCACAAAGGTGGAGGTGATGCTATGGGGCTGTTGTGGAGAATGACTTTTATAGATGCACCATGAATGTCTGCCAAAGTACTGGCTGACAAGATGACTAACAGTCTGCAGAAGCTTGAAGAAGAGAAATATTCCATCACTATAACTATCCAAAGACCACTGACAAAATCAATCAAGTGAGAAAAAAGAAACACAGTCTGTCTCCTGACTTGAGTGCAATTGAAAACCTTGGAGAAAAGAAATGTGTCTGAAGAACACCAGAACCCTTCTGCAGGAAATTGTGCAACTCTGGCTTCGTCCATGCAGAGGAGGATTGAGTCCGTCATCAGAAAACACATGTGGACATATAAAGTATTTTTATTGAGTTCCAACTACGGGGAGTGTACTTCCAATATAGTAAATCTAAACTGTTATTTTTTAATTTTACAGCAGAGTAAATATAATGTTAGAAAAGATGCACTTACTATAAGGTCCTACAATTTTGAATCTTTTAATATTTAAGTGATGCTGCACAGGGCTGCACTCACTTCTGTTGCATACAACAACTTCACATTCCAAACCAAATCTGACAGCGTTTCTCATATTTTGGGAAGAACCCTTGTTTGTGTTCTTGCCTAGAATTTGAAGTGAAGATCGATACCATTCCTACGTGTGTGTGTGGCAGATATAAAGACAGGAAACGGGGGGATCAGCTGGATGACCACAAAGACTTTATTACATTTGGACAAAGTCAAAGCGGAACCAGATTCATGTCAGTGTTTTTGTCCATCCATCCATTGTCCATAATCTTTGGCTACACGCTCTGTTTCTTATGCTTTGTTGGAGTGTTTTGTACATAACGTCGAACGTCTCCAACTGTTTGACATCCTCAGGACGACCCCAGCTGCACCTTCAGCCCTCATATGTTGCAGAATGTCCTCAAAGCGCTGCAGGCCTTCTGGCTTCATCCTCCAAACCTCTCAGTCCATCCACATGACAAACAAGCTTCACTGCTCTTTGACGAACGGTGACCACCAACAGCATCTGGAACCAAACAGTGTGAAACCCTCAGATAAGGTAAAGACGTGATGAAAACTCTTTTTACGACACCGGGAGTGAATATTTGTGTCCTGCTGTCTCAAACCAAGCAAAGAGACTTTAAAATCAGACCTTTTAGTTTGAGCGAGTGCATGAATAGTTCCTATCTGACCTGTTGTTTTGCTGTTCTTCCACACATGTTGCATCAGTACAGTTTATTTGTTTAACACCTCAGATTGCCTGGTGTCTCAGTGGTGACACGAGACAGAGGTGCGATAAAAACAAGTCAACTGTCTCTGCTAATGAAGCGCATCTCGCACACGTTTACCTTCTTTGGTGCTCGTTTGCTGCAGGTGAGAAGCTGTAATGCGATCTCAGGGGTGTTGCTGTTTGTTGCGTGTGTTTGAGCGCAACACGTGTTACATCATGTGTTCGCCTTTTCACAGTCATGTTAATGGTTAGTGAAAATCTACCTACAGTTTGGATTTACCTGTGAAATCTAAAGCATTTTCCTGTTTTTTTTAAATACTTTATCGCACTAATTTGCGCTACTTTGGCTCTAATACGGCCGCCTCTCTCTGTCTGTAGTCTGATAGCACTGACAAATAAGTGTTGAAAAAAAATCTCTTTTCATAAAACACATTGAAAACAATTGGCGTTCTCCCTTTTTCATACATGCAAAAGTTCCTGTCGGTTTAAAATACACACTTCTGTAGCATTACAGGTGGAGCTCTTGGAATATTCAAGCATATTTTGAGGTTTATTTCATTTTTATTGTACTTTGTGTAAGAACATTCAGTAGCTGCATGTTGAAAATAGATCATCCAAGGAACTGGATAAGAAATAAAAGCAAGTAAAAGTAAGTTTTCTTCCTAAATGTGTCAAAGAGCTTCTCCAGAGTTCCTTTTGCATTGATATCTCTGAGAGGATCTGAGGGCCTGCTGGTGCCATAAGAAGTTCTCAGATACATGTAGGGAAGACCCAGAGGAGTTTTTAAAATCTTTTGCATCATTTTCACATTATTTCAGAGTAAAATTAACATTAAATGTCAGGATAGTTTCTTTCTGCCCAGCCTAGGGGTTCTTGAACGCAACATAAATCCTTCTGCGGTCTCAAGCAGCCACACCACAGCAGCTTCACAGGGAAAAAAATAATTATTTATTTATAATGAATGAGATGTGGAAACAAAGGTGATGACTAACTTGAAATAAGAGTGAGCTCGACCGAAAACAACAACCAAAACGACACTAAACTGGGGGACTTACCCATCAAAATAAAAGTATCAAAAGTAAACACAAAGTCGGGCCTCCTTATCTAATTTAAAGAGTTTAAACATAAAGGTAGCAGCTCGCTCCAGTCATACAGAGTTAGGAGACGCAAGAATGCCGAACGTGGTGCGTGTACCGGTTCGGATGCCGGTGAAGAACGGCCCCGCCCATCTAAACCTCTCTGCGCACCGGCGAAGTCCTCCTTCCGCATTTAACACCGGAACTTCCGTTGATCAGCCAATCCGGTCGTCGCTACGGCGCAGCGCTATTTACATACTCAATCGGAACCCAGCGGGTAACAGACATGAAAGTAACAATTAACGTATTATCTACAAATTACGACCGCTTTTACATCAGTGAGAGCAGGATAGCTCCAGCACTGCTCCTCTGACTGTGTGAATTAGTCTTATTCATGATGATTTACAGCTTTAATCAGATGTAAAGTTGCTCCTTGTGACAGCAATGTGTGAGAATCACTGCCACCAGCTGAGGTCACATCGATGTATCTGGAAGATGTTGTGAGGGTTTAAATAGTCTAAAAGGAAAAGTCAGTGAAGATTCTCAGTCATCCAGGTCATTGTTGTTCTGGACTAGTTCCTTGAAGACGTTCCACCTCTCATCCGAGAGGCTTCATCAGTTCTGACTGACTGGTTGGGAGTTCCAGATACTGACATCCTGAAGGAGCCTTTAACACCTGAGGACTCGATCAGTTCTAGATCAGCAGCAAATGTCTGATTTTGTGGCCAGTATTGTTTCTCGGTTTCACTGAGCCGCCCAGGCTATTTGTTATAGTTTTGAGACTGTTTCTATCACTAACAACAACTCTGGTGGCGACATTTTCCTCAATAAAGAATCTTGGTCTTTAGATTTTGTTTTGTTTCCGTTGCATGAATTCACATAATGCTCCGATTTCTAGAAAGACTTCTGTCATTGGGTTCAAAGCAAACCTTAAAAATAAGTCTCAAATTGTGTCACTTTTTACCAAATGAATCCCACATGTCCCAGCAGTGTCTTTTAAGACTTCAAGTCAAAATGCTGCATTTAGGTTTCACTGAATTTAATGTCTGTGTTTGTTCTCATTGAGCTCAGATCTTAAGTCTTTCAGTTTAAACTCACTGAGCTTCAGCTGAACAGCAGAACATGTGAGGTGGAACAGGCTCGTTTCTGCTGGATTCACATTACAAGTTAATCAAAGTCTTATTTCTCTGTGTGTTCAAACTCTGTGGCTTATTGATATCAAATGTCTTCATGTGCGCCAGTTCAAGCCAGTGCAGGTCAAACTTAGAAGACGTTTCAGGAGAATGAACAGGTTTCCCTGCTGGAGGGAAAATGTTCTGTCATGTTGCATGACATTTACTGTTCCTAATATTAACTTGACTTTTTAAGTCTAGCACTCAAAGTTAAGACAGAAAGACGTCCAAGAAGCAGTTCTTCTGTGTGGCTCAGAGGGATGGAGGATTGTTTGGGGAACTGGAAGTTGTGGGTTTGAAAATTCTGAGCATCAGTGTCTTTTGAACACCAGTAACCAAAGTGAAAACCACATAGAGAGAAGCTTCCAGAGCAAACAGGTCTCGTACTGATGAGCTGAAGCTTCCAGGATGTGTTGACTCTGTATTATGTTCATGCAGCTCCATCAGAGCTTCATGAAGTTGGACCACAAAGACTGGAAACCAGATCCAGCTGCTACACTTTTACCTGATAGTTGGGAGGTTCAACAATCTGACTTTTGATCAGAAGATCTCTGCATCGAATCCATTTGAACTTTTTTATTTTTAACTAAATGTCCACAAATTTTCCTAAAATACTTGAAAACTTCAGATGTTTCACTTTGTTCATGAAAAAAAAATACAAACAGGCGAACACCAAACAAAACAGAACGTTAATGCAAAACAAACATCAGGTAGAAAACAAAAAAAGGAGTGTCGTAGATTTCTTTAAACGTATTAAAATGTTGTTTAAACAAAACACACTAAACAGGTTCCATGTTCTGACACAAACACAGATTAGTCGAGTTCATTAAGTTTGTTTTTAATGTGTTCACTTGCTAAAAATGGATCTTATTTATCGGTTTAACACATCAGTTGATGATCTCTTGTCTCTCATCTGTTTCTGTAAAGGCTCCTGCTTCACTGTGAGGCCGCCAGCTGCTCGGCTCTGCAGAGGATTGTGGGGAGCAGCCGAGCCACCGCCGCAGACTTCTCCAGCAGCAGATGCAGGAAGGTCATCGTGAAAGGATTCCAGCCGCCTGCACGCTCCCTCTCTGCCCCTCTCCCCTCGGGCAGGAAGGAGGCTGCAGAGCCCCAGACTGAAGCTGTTGGACTGTTGAACTCTGCTGCTGCTCTCAAGCTTCTCCACTAACCTGCAACTGCAAACACTTTTGTATTTCACATGTGCACAACAGGCCACTTGGCCAAATGGACCAGTTTTGCAATTTTGCACGCATGCCTGTTTATCTTTTTATAGCTGGTAAACACTTGTTTACATTGTTTTTTGTAGTGCTTGTAAGCGTCCCTGCTTTTTTTCTACCTGAGAACAAATATCGTGCCGTGCCAAGTGGAAACAGGTTCAAATCCTTGACCGATGGAGTTAATGAGGACTTGGTGGAGTCAATCGGCCTGATTGGAGCAAACCAAGTGGACCGAGGGAGGGGAGGATTCAAAATGAGTTGTTCTCTTTGGTTTGTTGTTTGTGTATTTAAAGTAGGATGACAAAGTTAGAGTGGGGAGTTGGAGTTCATGTGGTCTTTGGGAGAATTGTGTAAACAGTTGGACATAACGTGTAGATATTAATAGTCGCTCTTGGTGTAGACACCACCCCTACATGGATGCTAATGGTAGAGTCTGGCTCATATATATATGCCAGGTGGCGTTCAGCGTCTTTCTGTCCTTGATGTGTTTTCAGGGGAACCTGAACCACTTCAGGATGTGTAAATGTAAATGTTCTCAGTGTGATCATCCACGAAAAGATGAAACTTTGACCAAGTCTGGATGCTATTCTTCATCGTCCTGTTTCTGTTTCTCAGTTGCTGCTGCACTGAAGGAAGAGGTAAACCATTGTTAACACCTCATGAAAACACTTTTAACTGTGTTTGTTGATTTAAGGAAAATGTAAAGTCCTCTCGTGCTGGATCTGCTGCTTCAGTCAAAGTGTTGATTACAATCAGTGACCAAATTCAGAATATGCAGAAAGTTGTAGGAAGAGAGGAGATCTACTTAAAGCCCCTAAAATAAAAGTATTTCAGAATCATCAATACAGTATTATATCATTGGATTATAATATTGATTAATTGGTTTATCATTGTAGCTGGTACTAATTAATGTTTTTGTTTTTTATTGTTATTGTGCTTATGACATTTTGATTGTTTAAAAAGTGCAAATAAAGTCTAACTGATTGCTAATCTACATGAATGTAACATCCTTTATTTGTCTGTTTTTTATGAATAATGTTTTAAATGTGTGTAGCTTTATTATCTTTCTATTTTCGCCTCTTGGGATGTAATAAAACAAACTTTTATAAATGAAGCTTTGTGTCCTGTTCTTTTCTTTTCTGGTTACTCCAAGGACAAATATTGACGACACACAAATCCTGCTGCATTTCTGCTCATATAAAGTCTTAAAGTCTGATTGTGAAGAGCAGAACGTTGAAGCTTGAGTCTCTCCTCCTGTTTCTGCAGCTGACAGCAGCTCTGAGGGTGAAGCTGAGCTGATCCAGAAACCACGTCTCGGACTGAGCAGCTGAAGTTTCCAGGATGTGTTGACTCTGTAATATGTTCATGCAGCTCCATCAGAACCACAGGAGGTTGGACCACAAAGACTGAAAACCAGATCCAGCTGCTAAACTTTCAACTGACAGTTTGGAGGTTAAGAACCTGACTTTTTGTCAGAAGATCTCTGGATCAAATCCATCCAAACATTTTTATTTCTGTCAGGAACTAAATGTCCCCAAACTTTCCCAACACACTTGAAAACTTCACATGTTTAACTTTGTTTGTGGCTGTTTCTCTACTTCAAGCCAAACACTAAATATGACTCTGACCATCAGACTCTACAAGACAAACACATGTTGAGCTGTTCATCCAGTTCAGTCTGTGCTTTAGTGGAAATCTTCCAGCTTTTTCATTCTGAAGGTTCCTGGTTCAAATCCAATCTTTGGAACCATTTTGCAGTTTTTTTCTCCAAGTTTCCTGGTACCACGATATGAAGAAATTAAACCAGGAGCAAGTGTAGAGGAATGACTGGTGCTTCTTCATGCAGAAGGTTCATGGTTCAAATCCAGTTTTTATCATTTGCCCTCTTAAAACCCTCTTTGTATCGTCATTAATAGAAACTCAGACAGTAGTCTTGTGTGACAGATGGTACAGAGATGATCCCCTGTTTCTCTTCTGGGAGGTTCATGGTTCAAATCCATCAGTGGAACTCTTATTTGTAGTTTTCCTCTTCAGTACCTCTTTGTAACATCATTTAAGCAAACTAACACCTAAACCCTGTGAGAGAGATGGTGCAGGGTTAAGTACTGTGCTTCCCATACAGAAGATTCATGGTTCAAGTCCTGCTTTGAACTTGCATTACATCTCTTCACACGTTTTTGTCCAAAAGATCATGTGACTCTATAACTACAGGAAAAGAAGACAACAGGTTCAAGTTTGTTGTGTGGTGCAGAGGAACTCTTGCAGCCTTTATGTTTCTGCATCTTTTTGAAGGTTTGTGGATCAAATCCACCCAAGAACCATTTTCCACTTTGTTCTGGAAGGTGCTTTCTGGTGTCATGACAGAAAGAAACTAAGAATTTTAACTACCAGAAATAGTGGTGCAGAGCAAAGAGTTTTGGTTTCTCGTGCAGGAGATCCACGGTTCAAGTCCGCTTTTGGACTCACTTCACTTCTCTGCTGATGTTTTTCTCCATGTTCATGAATACATACTGATAGCAGCACTGCTGTGAAGAGTGTTGGTGTCGAGGAAAGACCTTTAATGCAGGACATCCATGGTTCAAAACCATTTTTAGATTTTCTCTACCTCTCTTTATGTTTCAGTGCAAAAGATCATGTGACTCTCTAAGACTGAGATAAGTTGACTAAAAGGTCAAGTTTACTGTGTGGTGTAGAGGCAATGTTGCAGCATTTGTGTCTTTGCATTTTTTTCCCCCAGATCCACGGTTCAAATCCACCCAAGGAACCATTTTACACCTTGTTCTGGACGATGTTTCCTGCTGACATGATATGAAGACATTTTTACACTTACTTTGACAGGAATGCTGGTGTAGAGGCAGAGTTCTGGTTCTTGGTGCAAGTGGTCCATGGTTCAAGTCCAGTTTTGGACCCATTTTACAGTGTTTTACTTTTTTTTTTGTCCATGTTCATCAACACAGACTAATGGGGAACTTATTGCTGTGAAGTGTGATAGTGTAGAGGTAAGATTGTTACCGTTCAAACAAGAGGTCAAGGGTTCAAATACACGTTTGGATATCACTTTACATTTTTTCCCCCATTTTTCTCCATGTTCATCAACACAAACTAATGTTCCTACTGCTGTTGATGTGTTGGGGTGTAGAGGAAAGATGTATACCTTTAATGCAGGACATCCGCGGTTCAAAACCACTTACAAATTCACTTTACATCTCTCTACATATTCTTGTCGAAAAGACCATGTGACTCTATAAGACTGGGATAAGTGAATGACAGATTCAGGTTTCCTGTGTGGTGTACAGGCAATGTTACAGCTTTCGTGACTTTGCATTTTTTTTCCAAGGTCCACGGTTCAAATCCACCCAATGAACCATTATACATCTTGTTCTGGGAGAAGCTTCCTGGTGTCAAGAGAGCAAGAAATGTAAAGACTTTTCTTGTCCAAGAGGGTGGTGTAGTGGCAGAGCTTTGCTTCGTGGTGCAGGAGGTTCATGGTTCAAGAACAGTTTTGGACTCATTTTATGGCTTCTGACATGCTTTTGTTCATGTTCATCAACACAAACTAATGGTGCTTTAGCTACAAAGTGCAGTAGCATAGAGGGAAGACCTTCACCTTTCAAACAGGAGGTCAAGGGTTCAAGTCCCCTTTTGGGCATTACAGTTAATTTCTTCAATTGGTTTTCTCTGTGTTCATCAACACAAACTGATGTTCAAGCGGTTATGTGATGTAGCAGTGTAGAGGTAAGATTTATACCTTTCAAACAGAAGGTCATGGGTTCAAATCCACCAGGAGTAATTTTCACTTGTAGCTCATCAATACGACTTAATGCCATCATTAGCACAAACTAAAGCTATACTGTGTGTGACAGACGGTGTAGAACTCTCAGTCAGAAGGTCCTTGGTTCAAATCCCACTGAAATACATTATGTATTTGCGCGCTTCTATCTGGCGCCAGAAATACAACTTCCAACCAGAACTTAGTGTGAGCAATGATGGT